ATTAGACAATTGTGTTTATCAGTTGGCTCAGAAAATCCCTTGAAAATAGGACAAGCTATTCTCATGGGTGTGTACAAGTTGTCTCTAGCACACCGCTGATTTAAACCCAGGACCTCTGACACCAAATGTAACCCCCATTGAACACAACCAAAGGTACTAGAGCTCCACAGGCAGTAAGTAGTGGAGCTGAGATCTAAAGCTAGTCTGACCCCAAAGCCAAGTTCTTAACCATTATCATTTGGATAATGATCTCCATTGGAGGGCCTGATGGGAGAAGAGGAGAAGCAAGGAACTGACCCAGAACGCCTGTGGACTTTACTTCCCTGATCCCAGGCCACTGGGGCAGATTGAGGGGGGATGGTACGGGGGGTGTCATTAAACTTCAGGCACAGTCAAGCATTGCTCCCTCACTGCAGAGGGGCAGACCTGCCCAGGGTCACACACAAAGCCTGGGGCTATGCTCAGATTAGAACCTGGGTCTCCTCAGTCATCCCGAGGCCAAGGCATACCCTCAGCCCTGGTGACCTGTGCCCAGTGGACACCAACAAACCAAAACCATTACTGCAGACAGGTGTGAGCTGGGAGGAAGGCCCGCAAGACAGAAAGGCTGACGCCTGCTGTAGCCCAGCCTAGGCCAGACCCTCTTGGGGGTGCTGTAGTTTGAGAGAGGAGGGCACCAATGAATCAAACAAGAGCCCTGCTCACAAGCCGCACTGTCTGACACAGTTGCTGCTAGCCGCATTTAACAATTTATATTTAAATTCATTAAAATTAAGTGCAATGTAAAATCCAGTTCCTTAGTCACAATAGCCACATTTCAAGTGCTCAACAGCCACCTTTGGTTAAAGGCTATTGTGTCAGATAGTGCAGATAAAGAACATTTTCATCAACGCAGAAAAATCTGCCGTACAGTACTGGCCCCAGAGGAAAGTCAGATAAAATGAAAAACAACAATTTTGCCCACCGGAATGGAGCCAGTTGCCGAGGAGTGGTTCTTGGAGGAGGAAGGTCTTGAGGTTCCAACTCACAGGAGCCCTGCCCACCCCCAGGTCTGGGCCCTCCCTCTTCTCCCCTCCAAGCCCAGCCCCAGGCCTGAGCAGCTCTAGTTTCTTTCCGGCTGCTTGTGTGTGTCTGTCCTCCACCACCCTGGGTGGAGAATGGGGCCTGTGGGGACCTGCAGAGAGTTGCCCAGGAGCCAGCAGACGTGGGAGCAGCTGAACCTCCTCAGGCTGCCAGGGCTGCAGCCCACTTGCCTGCATCCCTAAGGCTCAGAAAAGGAGGGCTCTGGGGAGCTGCTGGGGGTTGGAAAGTCACAGTGATGGTGCAGGCAGGGGCGGGCGCTGTGTGTTTGTCTCTCGGCATCTTTGATGCGCCTCAGAACCTTTCATGTTGGAGGCTGTCCTCTGCCAAGGGCCCCATGTGCTGTTTGCTTTTTTCCTTTTATTACTTTTTTAATTCATTTCATTAAATTGGTTCTGTACAAGGCAAAAGAAGAGCCCAGCAGACAAGAAATGCTACTCAGGTTATAGGGGAAGAGAAGTGGGGGTGGGAGCTCCCTTCTTGCTGGGCGGGTACAACTGAAAGCAAAGCACTGGCTCATCCACCCACACTTCAAGGCTTCAGCTGCTCACACACTAACACCTCTTAGAATCTTTATAGAACACATGCCTACTTCTTGTGGATGAACGTAAAATCCTTATGTGATCTTAATAGAATCCATATAGAAGTTTCATAGAATCCTCTTAGATGCCACATAAAAGTCCTCATAGAATTCACCAGATTGCTCATAGAAGTCTAAATCCCCACTGCCGTGCACACAACACACACACACAACATATACTGCACTCCAGTGGAAATAGCAAATCACCTTGAACCCCGTCTCCTTTCCTCAGAAAATGGCCACTTGACAGATCTATTTTGTAGATGGAGAGACTGGCGACATTGCCCAGGGTGAGATTGCAATGCAACCTTTTGTGGCCTGACCTGAGCAGGCCTCTGTTAAGGCCCCTTAGTCTGCAAACCAGGTCCCTTGGGAAGAGGCGAATAATTTGCAAAAGGATCCTAAGGCTTCTGCGAAGAGAGGAGAAGCCAACCCCTGTGTGAAAATTCATCATGGTGGCCCCGGGTGCTCGACCCGCTGGGACGGAAGCCCCGTGACGCAGCAGGAATTGTTGGTGTTAATGTGTCCCAGCACCTACTCCTGAGCCCGGCACACGTGGTAGATCCTCAATAAGTAAATGAAGGAAAGTGCACTAGCAGGAAAGGACCCCCAGGGCCCTAACAAGCACCCACCAGAGGACAGGGCAAGCAGCAGGCCACCACAAGTCTGCAGCAGCTACTGGGCATTGTTGTGGGCTGGGTGGGGACCCAGACAAACGAGACCTCTCTGCGAGTGGATGGACGGTGGCCTGGCTAATGTGGGGAGAAAAGGGGTTCTGACAGCACGAAGGTGAGGTCCGTCTGGCAGGCATCCTGGTGGCTGATGACCAGGAACTGCACGGCCAGTCTGCAGTTGGCCCCGGGCATGCAGGCTGAGACAGCTCCAAGGATTATATCCTTGCAGGGCCTGGAAAAGTTTTCTAGTTATTTGTTAGCTTCATGTCAAGCAGAATGGCTTTCTTTCATTCTTCAGAGTTGTACTCGGCCAGAAGTCCCCAAATTCAACCTTCAGGAGCTTTGTAGGGACTTAGAGACGAGAGTCACCCAGCAAACCTGACTGTGGAGTTCAGATTGTAAAGAGGAAAGATACTCTGCCTCTTCCAGGCACAGAAGGCAGTTGATCCTTAGCGGGAGCCCTGGGCTCCGAGAAGCCCCTGGGGAAGCAGTGGAGCTGACACTCATCTAACAGGCTGAGCTCTGTGTGTCTGCCATCTGTCTGTGCGGGGATGATGGCACCTACACTCCCAGCAGTTCTGTCTGCACACCGTGGTGGAGCCCCAGCTTTGTGCCCTGCCCTGGGCATGGCTGAGAATGGACAGGTGCCCTCTGCATTTGGGAGTTAGTAGTTTTAGCCTCTTAAGAGCAAAGTATGCCCCAGATACATGTTTTAAAAAAGAAAGGTAAGAAGGAAGAGACCCCCTTCCCCTGCAAAAAAAAAAAAAAAAAAAAAAAATCAGGCCAGGTTGAGCCACTTCTAGCCCAGAACTCTTTTCACAGCAAACGCTAATATCCTACTTCTGCCAACATTCAAATTCAGGTAACTTAGAGGGACAGTTAAAATCCAAATGAACAAAAAAACCATGTCCAGGTTGCCCACCAGTGCCTCCAGGACGCATAGTGCCATGCCCCATGCAGCAATATCTCTGAGCAGCAGGGAGTGGTGGCAGTCCCCAGATTCCTTGGGTGATGCAGTCATCAGCTAGAACCACATCAGCAGCAGAAGGATATCGGAGGAGACAGCAGGAGCAAGTGGGGGGCACACCACAGACGGCCTTGAGACTTGGGCTGAGTCAAGAATTTGTATTTAGCTGCTGGGAGCCTTTAGAGGCTTTGAGCAGGGGAATGACTTTTCAGACACGTGCATTAGAAAGGGTTATATTTAGGGAAAACAAAAGCTCCATATGCCTGGCTCAGTCCTGGTTTGCCTGGACAGTTCCAACTTGTGCCTGCTTCTCCTAGTAAACTGATTGCCCATTACACTCTCAAGAGTATCCTGGTTTTACCTACTGGATATTTTATGATATTAAAGAATTGTTTTTAATTTTTAAAATATAATAATATAGTTACATCAAAAGAAAGAAAGAAAGAAAGAGAGAGAGAGAGAAAGAAAGAAAGAAAGAAAGAAAGAAAGAAGAAAGAAAGAAAGAAAGAAAGAAAGAAAGAAAGAAAGAAAGAAGAAAGAAAGAAAGAAAGAAAGAAAGAAAGAAAGAAAGAAAGAAAGAAAGAAAGAAAGAAAGAAATTGTTAATTTCAAGAGTATCCTGGTTTTACCTACTGGATATTTTATGATATTAAAGAATTGTTTTTAATTTAAACAGTAATAATATAGTTACAATTAAAATGCTGTTTTCGTTGTTATATATATATAGGGCGTTGCTGCTGTTGCTGTTGCTGTTGTTGCTGTTGCTGTTGTTGCTGTTGTTGTATTGCTGTTGCTGTTGCTGCTGTTGTTGTTGTTGTTGTTGTTGTTGTTGTTGTCGTTGTTGTTGTTGTTGTTGTTAAAGAAAGAAAGAAAGAAAGAAAGAAAGAAAGAAAGAAAGAAAGAAAAGAAAGAAAGAAAAGAAAGAAAGAAAGAATTAATTCTGGGCCATGCACGATGGCTTATGCCTGTAATCTCAGCACTTTGGGAGGCCAAGGCGGGTGGATCACATGAGGCCAGGAGTTCAAGACCAGCCTGGCCAACATGGTAAAACCCTGTCTCTACTAAAAAAATACAAAATTTAGCCAGACAAGGTGGCACATGCGTGTAATCCCGGCTACTCGGGAGGCTGAGGCACAAGAATTGCTTGAATCCAGGAGGCAGAGGTTGCAGTGAGCCTAAATCATGCTACTGCACTGCAGCCTGGGGGACAGAGCAAGACTGTCTCAAAAAACAAACCAATAAAAACAGTTCTGCCGGGCATGATAGTGCATGCCTGTAGTCCCAGCTACTCTGGAGGCTGAGGCAGGACGATCACTTGACCCCAGGAATTCTGGGCTGTAGTGCATTATGCCAATTGGGTGTACACGCTAAGTTTGGCATCAATATGGTGACCTCTTGAGAGCAGGGGACCACCAGGTTGCCTAGGGAGGGGGAACAAGCCCAGGCTGGAAACGGAGCAAGTCAGAACTCCCGTGCTGATCAGTAGTGGGATTGCACCTGCTCTGGGTACCTTGCCCAGGCTGGATCGACTACTCTTACTGTGTTGCCCAGGCTGGAGTGCAGTGGGATTCAGGCTTCACTCCATTGAGTGGAGCCACTGCACTCCAGCCCGGGCAACATAGTGAGACCTCATCTAAAACAAAAGGGTTCTTATCTTTTAAAGATGGATAGATTGATTGATTGATAGTTCAATCGATCTAGTGCTCACCCTGGGGGCACATATACTAAAATTGGAATGATACAGAGATTAGCACGGCCCTGCACAAAGGATCACATGCAAATTTGTGAAGCATTCCATATTCTATGATAAACGTTTGAGAGATGAATATGTCAATTACCCTGATTTGATCAGTACACATTATATGCCTCTAACACCACTATATACCCCATAAATATGTACAATTATTATGTGCCAACTAAAAAATCTAAAGAATAAAGACATACATTTAGATATTTATAGATGAATATTGTCTAGAACTTGCTTCAAACCAATCTAGCAAGGGGAAGTGGTGGCAGAATGTGAGTGGGAATAGAGACGAAATAAAATTGGTTGAGTTGACAATTACGGAGTTTTAGTGGTGGATACATGGGGTGGTGGTGTGTTGATGATACTAGTCTCTCCATTTTTGTGTTTAGTTAACATTTTCTGATATGTAAGTTTAAGAAGAAAGTGTCCCAGAGTGGACAATAAATATGATCACTCTAGTTCCATGGTTCTCAACCTGGAGAGATTTTGCCTCCAGGGAACAGTTGGCAAGGTACGGTGGCCTTTTGGTCATCACAACTTGGAGTCGGAGGGGGGGTATGCTACTATTATCTATTGGATAAAGGCCAAGTATTGGTTTTTATTGCTAAAGGCTGCAGTGCTCAGATTGCCGCCAACCCCAACAAACATCTCTGGCTCAAAATGTCAATAGTGCCAAGGGTTACACCCCAGGTTAGTGTAATGTCTGTGACTTACTTTAAAGCTCCACTGTAGGAACAGAAGAGATAGTATCTCTGTGTGTGAGCTGATTGTAATGTATGCTCTAGGGGTGATGAGTTAACACTTGAAGTAACTCACACCCTAGAAGTGGCTAGCAAGAGCTTCAAATATACTTATTTAAATCTGTTTCCCCAAATTAATTAACTAGCACAAACAATATCCAGGTAATTTGTTGTTGGTGAGGTAAGTGATGTTTGAGAACTATATTCAGCTGGAAAGATGGTTTAGGCACCTATGTCTTTGCTTGAACAAGACAGAAAAATCCACCAAACCTGGGTGCCTGACAACCAGGGACTGGTGCTCTGGGTCTATTCCCATTTTATTCTGAGTCACCTCTTGACCTTGACAACTCTGTCACCTGGTCAAACCAGAAGCTCGGCTGGTCTCGCTGACGGAACATCGCCACATCTTTGAGCTACTGGACTTCCCATGTGAGTGCTTTTCAGCATGCCTAGAGATAGAGAAAGGGGATGGCCCAAGTTTAGTGGAGGCGGACAAATGACTATTTTTGTGACTATTTGCTAATAAAAGTATGTCATTGTGGCAGAATATGGTCTGAAATTTGCTTTCATTGTAACATATCTCCTTGTGGCAAGGGTATGGGCCTGAAGACCCTTTCCCATCTTACCTTTGGGGATTAGGAGACACAAATGTTTATCCTAAGAACCTGATCGTCATTGAACAGCCAAGTTGGCTGAGATGAGGAGTGTTTGTGTAGAGAACAAATTGAAGACAAGATTAGAACCTTCGCTTCCTCCATGATCTGTGCATCTTTCTCATGTCTTCCAGGAACACCACATACCTCCCTAACACTACCACCATGTATCACTGAACAGCTGGACTGGCTGAGATAGAGAAGATAATACTAGAGGTCTGTGTGGAGGATAGATTGGAGAGGAGATGACAACTTTTTCACCTCCTTTAGGATCTTTCTAATATCTCCCATACACCCGTCTGGCACCACAGCAACACCATGTATCACACGCACATTTCCTGCCCTACCAGCGTCTCACCTGTGTCCCCCAACACCTGTGTCTATGGCTTCAGCCATGGCCAGGAAGTGTCTCCTTGTGCCCGAGGACTCTCAGTTGTGTCAGTAAGTAGGTAGGAGAGTCTCATGGCTCAGTCTGGCCTCAGGGGCTGGAATGTGTCATGGTGGCCATGACTGGTTTCAGCTGCCTTTAGTCCACAGCCGGGCATGTCTTCCATCTCCAGCAGGAGCCAGGCAGGATCAGGCTGCCTCTGTGTCCTAGAAAGCCAGGGTCCCCTCTGGTCATAGCTGCGGCCATGCATGTAGGGACAGGAGGACTGTCCTTGGAAGGTGAGAATGGCTGGGTGGGCCACACAGGAGGCCTCATTTTCAGCCACCAACAGCTCAGGAGAAGTGACTTTCTCGAGGATATTCTGAGAGCCTGTTTGGATGAGGAGAGGCTGAGAATCCAGGGGGCACTGGGCATGAGACTGAGGGCAGGTGTGAGTGGGCGCCCCTAGAAGGAAGGGTGGCGTGCCCGTGAGGCAGGGGGAGGTTCCTGGGGCTGTCATGAGATGACCATTACCAATGTCACTGTTCTGAGGAGGAACATTTCTGCCTAGCCGGCCGTCAGTGCACATTCATGCACACACAGATACAGAGAGACACACACACACATGCACGCACACGCACACACACATACACACACATACACATACGCAGGTCCCTGAGCCGCATTCCTTGGCCTCAAGGTCCTTTCTTTCCCAAGGTCTCAGATTGCGTGTCTGACATGGATTTTTCCTAGCTGCCTATCCCATGGTGTGCAGGCTCCCATGGGGCCCCTAAATGCCCCACAGACCCTGGGGCAAGCTGCCTGATGCCCGGAACTCTCCCTCAAGGTATAGCTCTGAAGCAGACCACAGAGCCCGTGCTGAGGGCTGAGACTCTTCCCAGGAGACGAGTGCTCCTCTGCCAGGGCCCTTAACAGGAGTCTGGCACCTGTTTCTATGGCTGTCTCTACTCAGTCCCAGCTAGTAACAGCATCGTGGGGGAGCCTCAGGGAGGAGAAGGGGATTCTAGGCCTCTGATCTCTGCAGCTCACCCCTAACTAAACCATGCCAAATATACACACCCTGAAAAGAATCACACAAATCAAACCCAGTGTGCCGCTGCAAGGCCCTTTTCCCACCAGCTTCCTCCTTGACCCTGCCTGTCAGGGGGTCCTGGAGCCGCCTGGGTCTCAGCCATGGTGGTGCTGGGCTTCTGCCGGGCAGTGCACAGTTCACGCTATCTCCTCATCCATCGAGGGTTCTCTGGCCAGGGACTGGGCTGGGCATTGTTGATCTCTGTCTTTCTCTTAGCAAACTCAGTCCAGAGCCTCCTCACCACCCCTCTACCCACCGCGCTCAGAGAATGTCAATGAGCATGGGCAGAATTTAATTGCCTGGCAAGTTCAGATTTGCATCTTTGATCTGCAAACCTGGCAGGGCTGGGTGATAGGGAGAACATGGCATTTGGGTGCAGATGGACACGGGCTTGAAACCCAGCTTTGTCATTTCTTTCTTGGGACCTTCAGCAGCTGCTTCACACATAACATCCCTCCCCACCCCTCTCCTGAGCCCAACTGTTCTCATCTGGGAAGTGGTGAAAGTCGTACCTAATTCACAGGAGAACATGTGAGTGTACAAACAGCCCTGCCCATCATCTGGTGGCCACTCATCTTCCTTTTGGGAATGAGCTGGGAGCCGTGATGAGTGTTTCAGTCTTGGTTCAGGCACTGGGATTTCTTTGTCATGGGCCTAGTAAGCACTTTATATATATCCTAATCCTCCCAACAATCCTATGAGGAGGGCACTATCATCATCATCAATACCTTTGTACAGCCGAGGAAACTGAGGCACAGAGAGATTATGAAATTCGGCCAAGTTCACACAGCCTGTAAGTGACAGGGCTATGGTTTGACCCAAAGCATTTGGACTCTGGGACCTGCCCTCATAGCTATGTTACTAAACTGCTGGGAGTTTACCCCAAGACAGGAAACCTACAAAGGGGTGTTCTTTGAGTCTATCAAAAATATTTACTGAGTTCCTCCTAAGGAGTTAGGAGACGTGGTCTCAGCCCCACTGCAGGCTGCTCTCTGTGGGGTCCAGGGGAGCAGCTCCGGCCCTGGGCCTGCTGGCAGAGCTTTGCTGAGACCTGGCAGAGGCGGCCCTGCCCTGTCACGTCTCCCTCCACAGCCCACTTGCCTGCCAGGGTGTTTGAACAATGATTAACCAGCAGCGGGCAGGTCAGTGCAGGCCAGGCCGGGCACGGCGGGTGAGCTCACCCCTTGCACAATGGTGGCCGCACCCGCCGCCCGCACCCACCACCCGGCTCAGGGGCCGGCCCAGTGGGGCAGGGCCAGGCGGGCTCCCAGAATAAGGGACATGAAGCTGGAGGGAAATAAGGGACAGCCTAGTCAGGTGTGTAGATGTGACTACAATCACATTTGATGCCATCCCCCAACTCCAGCCCATGCAGACTCCAGTCCCTCTTGCCAGCCATCCATTGCTGGGATGAGACCAGCCTCGAGGGGGATGTTCCTCAAACAGTGTCACCTAAGCCTGTCCCACGCTGCTCCAGCCACAGAGCATCAGACTCCAGACGGGACTGGAGGATGCCGGAGGACCCGCCCACTCCAGGCCCAGGGCAGACAGGGAGACACGCCTCAGGCCCCTCCTCCAGTTTCTCCATGAAGCCTCTGAGCCTTGTGGAGCTGGGTCTCTGGCCCTGGCTGCTCGGCGAAGCACAGGCATGTGCCCACACCCACACCAGCCCCTGGGCCCCTCCCTGGGAGCGTCCGGGGTCTCAAGCGCCAGAGCCTGCATGGTGGTGGTGGTGGAGAACTCACAGCTCATTCGGAGCCAAATCTGCCTCCAGATTTGCCGACGTTGCCGTACCTGTCCACCCCAGCCTCGCCCGAGGCTTCAGCCTTTTATTTGCTTGTTGAGTGGAGCACTAAAGTCCTTTATCCTAAATAAACTGTGAGTCCATTTCTGGTCCGGCTTCACTGCCTCAAAAGCTAGGAAGACTGAAGAAGGTTGGGATGTGCATCTGGGGTTCGAGGGGCAGCACCGTGTGTGGGGGTGGGGAGGGGGAAAGATGAAGGTGGGAGGGGTGGAGGTGTCTTTACCCCACCCCCACTCCCCCTCCTCAGCGTTCTGAAAAGTCTGACCCTGCTGGTCTGATGAGGTCTCCCAGCTGATCTGAGGGCTCAGTCAGCCTTGCTGGGTGCCCCTCTAAAAGAACCCAGGAGTCTGGGTGCCCAGGCCTGGGCCTGCCAGAGCTCCCTGGCCCCTCCTCACAGCCA